AGGAAAAGAACAAAACACCTACGGCTAAATGATTAAGAAAGTCCGGACATGTAACTCCCTATATGCCCCATGTTACCTATGTATTAACGAAAAATTTGAAATTATTAGATTTAAAAACAAGTCTGATCTCTTAAATCGAAGATATGAACTAACTGTTAATTGTAAACATCGTTATAAATTTAACTTATTGTAGGGGTCGTATACTTTAAATGATAATGATATGTCGATGTATGTTTAATAGATTATTACTTTTATTGCCTGATGGTCATCCTGACGATATGAATGTGTATTGTATACCTGCATAATGTTATTCGTGTTTGGGTATGTGTGTATATATTTATTTGTGTGTGGGTATGTGTGTTTGTACTGCTGAATGTGTAAGTTTGTATATAAGTGTATTTATATGTTGGTAGGTTTTGTGTATACATATGTGTATATATGAGTATATATGTGTATATATATGTGTATATATGCATATATATATATATATATATATATATATATATATATATATATATATATATATAAGCAAAATATATGGATATAGATCCGACAGTATGAAGAAAATATATACGGAAAAAACAAAGCGCTGATCTTATAAAACTTTCAGTTATTTGTTTGGATAAGTCTTGTTCTTATGTACATCGTCTTTGTCATGTTGTATTGATAATGTTATAATTTATGAATATGTCCTGAAGATGGTTTATTAGACCGAAACGTCCGACGTTGACATTAGCATTAAAACAATATAAATTGTATATAAGGATTTTTTGTTTGTTTTTTCCGTATATATTTTCATATATATATATATATATATATATATATATATATATATATATATATATGAAGTAAGTAGGTAAAAAGGAGGTGAAGGAAGAGGTTAAAATATTGATGTATATGTGTATGCAAGTGTATTTGTGTATGTGTATATATGTGTATGTGTATGTATGTATATGCATGTATATGTATGTGTATATGTGTATGTGTATATATATATATGTATGTGTGTGTGTGTGTGAGTTCTGTTATATTGTGTATCTAAATTTATATTTACGTATATTTCAGTTTGTATGAATGTGTTTATATATGTATGTTAGGGTACATGTATATTGGTGTGTGTTTATGTATGTATATGTATGTACGTTTTTATATATGTATTTGGTTGAATGTCGTTGTATTTATGTGTATGTGCATATATATGTGTATTTGTTATTATGGATAGGTATATTTATGTATATGTTTAGTTGTAAGTATATATATATATATATATATATATATATATATATATATGTCTGTGGATGTATATATGTGTGTGTTGACACCTATTATATTTGAGATTGATTGTGTGTATGTGTAGGTATGGAAACTTTGGTTTGTCATTACTGCCACATGAGTTAGTCTATGTGTGTATATATGTTTATGTTTGTGTATTGTGTGCGTATATATATGTATATATATGTGAGTATGTGTGCATAAATGTGTGTATATATGTGTGTATATATGTATGTATGTGTATGTGTACTTGTTATCATGGATATGGATATGTATGCATATATTTATGTTTATATATTTATTTGTATGTATTTCTATGTATTTGTATATATGTATGTATGTATATGTGTGCTGGTTTGTGTTTGCTGCCTCGTGTATATATGTGTATATGTGTATGTACGTATGACAGTACACGTATTTCTGTAGGTAGTTTTTTTTATCTTATTTTCCTTCACCTAATATATAATAAAACTATTATCAACTTATATGATTGAAATATAAGTTTTTATTGATATTTGTGGTTTTGGAATTTTCGTTTGTTAATATATTAAATAATATTATTTTTAACCATTTTTATCTTTATATATTTGCTCGCCTAAGTTATATTTTAATAAGTGGCTAGCATTTGTTTAATGACACTTTCAATCTTAAATATTTATTTATTGGTATCTGATTGTCAAGGTCAATGTCTGTGGATGTGTGTACATGTATTTATCGGTGACTATGTGTATGGAAAGTGCATTCACTTTTAATTGTGTATGTATGTACGTATGTGTTGGTTTCCCCTTTTCCTCCCCCCTTTTTTTTCATAAAGGGCCATGGAGATGTTCCCTGTCTCGTCACTTTTTTGTGTGTATATATATCTAAATATGTCTGGGTGCTTATGTATTATAATCTGATTATGTTTGTGTTGTTTTACACGGGAGTTTAGGATTCCATTCACACACTTGGGATTAAAATCTATACATATATATTGTCGGATGACCGGATGAAGTAGCGTCTGTTCTAACGTAATTTCAACGAAGAAATAAATTGAATAACATATGTATTTCTTCTTTTCTCCTCAGTAATTTTATCATTTTTAAACTTAATAGTGTTTAAATTTGGATTTTAAAATTGGTAGTTTTTAATTTTAATTTCAAATTTTATCATAGAATTTAGTAATTGTTGGTTAGAATAAATGCTTTTTTAATATTACCTGTATTTTAAAGATTTAAATAGCTATTATAACATGACTTGTTGTCAAGCTTTTTGAATTTTCCTATACTTGTACTTTGATTGGTCATTCTAGATTTCGTAACAACGTTTTCCCCTTGTGAAGGATTGTTAATTAATTTGAAACTTTTAAAACCATTTATTTTACATTCAACTTCAACACTTAATAAAACACCAGGGGTGTTGAAACAAAATGGCTATTTTTGTAGTGATTTTATAACATATTTATGTTACAAATTCAAAAAAAAAAAATATATATATATATATATATATATATATATATATATATATATATATATATATATATATATATATATATATATATATATATATATATATATATATATATATGCGGAACAGGGTATACAGGTAGAGTCTCCGACTAATACTAAATCAGTCGGGGTTTCAATCCTGGCTTGACGCAATCGGATGTCTAGCGACACTGATGAGCTGTCAAAAAGCGAAACAGTCTGTCTGTGGATGAAAATACATATATTTATATTATATATATATATATATATATATATATATATATATATATATTGATGCATGTTTCATTAAATAATATAGACATATTTTGTCTATTTATTTTAAGTAAATTCCTTTCGTATTGTTTGATAATTTTAATAACATTATCTTTGAAAGATGTAAGAAAATCACCATATTGATAGATTTTTTTTTTATCCTATCTAAGGTTTCGGCTTACATTGTCAAAATGATATTTAAAGTTCAATATATTAAACAATACATGGACAAAACAATAATGATAGTGTGGTTTTGTTGCATGAAAGATTTCCAAGCAACGACAAACTCGTGTATACGAGACACGGAAGCGAAAATCGCACCGCAGCTCGTGACGTCGCACATGACTAAGTTCCTCTGCGGCCCAATCGGATAAGAGCACGTCAGGCTATATGACGGATCCGTATAGGATAAATGTTCGATTCCTGTCGGAGGACGAATATTTTCTATGAAAATTTCTCGGACATTCAAGTCGGTAAATGTTGTTTAATACTGTTTATTATAAAACAGAGCATTTACTTGCATCTATAAAAAGAAGGTATAAACATAAAAACGTCTTAAAATAAGTGTCGGACCTTGTCCATTTCATAATATACATACATATATACATACATACATACATATATATATATATATATATATATATATATATATATATATATATATATATATATATATACTTAAATAAATTGTTGGAGGTACAAAACCGTAATATTGCAAGGAATAGATACAAATTATTCCTAAAGGCATTATGAAAAATAAAAAATAAGAGATGATAACACTTACAGAACAGACCAACCGGTTTCGTTCCCAAGCTCATCAGGGTCGACTGGGAACAATTTAACAATTATTGCAATATATATTGACTCATACAAACGCCCTACATACAATTAAAACATTAAAAAATGAAATGATTAATGGTATGAGGGAAAATAAATTCAAACCGCGCAAATTTGCACAGCACAAAGCAAAAAAAATGGGAATGTGAGGGGAATATATGATACACACTAGAGTCTAATAACGTGAAGCCCAAGGAGACAGTCTTTTTGCTTGCAAAGAGACGGCTCCCAGGACGGAATATACAGAGATTCAAGTGCCCGCAAAATGAAATGGAGAGTGCGAACTGAACAATACAGTCCAACCAATTCGGACTGAAATACATACATACATGATATATATATATATATATATATATATATATATATATATATATATATATATATATATATATATATAACCTGTGTGTGCATGCGTGTATAAATATAGACAATGTGGTCACAGAAATTAATTTTTTAATGTTAACAGTCAGTTTCAGGTGTCAATGTGTTCTTCAGGCCAAGTGTCGCTAGACATTCAAATAATGACAATAATCGCGTTGGTTTTCGAACTTAAAACAATATCTTCACTTTTTATAAACGTTATCAGCTGTTCACTTGCGACATTATCAATTCCTCAGTGGTGTTCTAGGAATACATCGCAAAGTTGCAGTGGCTTGCCAAATTACTGCAACGTTTTCCTGAATATCGTCATTGAAATCAATGCCTGATAAAGAACAGATTTTAATTAGTTAGAAACTAGCGTGTCGTAAATAAGGCAAAAGAGATAATGGCCGATTTTGACTGATCTCCGCTCCTGATTCGTCCATTTGGTTGGTAAATTTGGCACGCAAGCCCGTTCAGACAAAGCTTTCTTTTCTGAACCATTTGCAGACATGAACATAGCCGCCATGGATGTCAGTCGTGCATGTCGATTATAATCGGCGCGTGAAATCTCATTATCCGAGCACAATAAGGCGCGCTCTATGTTCACCTCAGCATAAACATATTTACCTTGGTAGGTAAATTTAATATCTATCAAGTGTTGTCACTTTTCAGCTAGAATGGACAAGAGAAAGAAGGTAAGCAAAAGTAATAAGAAATGAAAAAGAAAGAAAGGAAGGAAAAATGAAATAAATAAAGAAAAAAACGGATGGAAGGAAGAAACGAAGAAACCTAAAAAGAAAAAGAGAAGAAAAGGATGAAAGGAAGAAGGAAAGAAAGAAACGAAGGAAAGAAAGAAACAAAAGACGAAAAAAGAAAAAGAAGAAGAAAGAAAGAAAGAAAAAAAGATAAAACGAATAGAAAGAAGGAACTAAGGGAAAAAGAAGGAAAAAAGAAAGCATGAAATAATAAGTAAAAGAAAATAAGAAAGAAAGAAAGGAAGAAAAAGGCGCATAGAAATGAAAAACAAAAGAAAAAAGAAAGAAAGAACGGATGGAGGGAAGAAACAGAAAAACCTACAAAAAAGAAAGAAGAAAAGGAAGGAAGGAAGGAAGGAAGGAAGGAAGGAAAGAACGAAGGAAGGAAGGAAAATAAAATAAATGAAAAAAAAGAAAAAAGGAAGAAAGAAAAGAAGAAAGAAGAAAGAAAAGAAGAAAAAAGAAAGAATAGAAGCAAGGAATGGTGAAACAAAGGAAGAAAAAAGAAATCAAGACATAGCAAAAAAAGAAAGAAAGAAACAAACAAAAAGTAACAAAGAATGAAAAGAAAAGAAAGAAAGAAAGAACAGATGGAAGGAAGAAACAAAGAAACCTAAAAAGAAAGAAAGAATAAAAGGATGGAAGGAAAAAGGAAGAATGAAACAATGAAATGAAAGAAGGAAAGAATGAAAGAAAAAAAAGAAAAAATGAAAAAGAAATAAAAGAAAAGAGAAAGATTAGAAGGAATGAAAGAGGGAACAAAGAAGAAAAAAGAAATCAAGAAAGAAGTAAAGAAAAAAGAAAGAAGCTATTTCAGACGCACTCGATTCATTTTGCCCTTTGCCAGACTAAACTAATGAGAGGTTATTCGGTGTTTAATGTTATGACGTAACTGCTTTCATCATTGTCTGTAAACGAAGTCCAGAGAAATTCATTTGAAATTATTTAAAGAAATCATTTTCAATATTATTATTATTATTATTAATGCATTCATATTATTATATAGCGATCATCATCATCGCACACACACATATACGCCCTTACAAATTCAAATCGGAAACAGCATTCATTCCTTGGACAGAAAGCAACGCTGCTATCTGATGCGACAATTTTAAAATCGCTATATTTTCATATAGTAAATTTTGTGCACTTTTGGTAGAATTGGCTCCCAGAAATCTCCGCAAAACTCAGGCACTGATTGGTCAGTTTCAACCAATCAGATTCTCTGCATGTAGAAAATGATTTCTAAAACTGTGATAGGCGGGTACAAGAGGAGGACAACAACACTCAGAAAACAGTCTGCCTGCCTTATGTGAAGCGGTTATCAGAGAAAATACAAAGGATCTGCCGTCAATATAACATCTGGGCAACCTTCAAAAGCTGGACGACACTTCGCAGATATCTCTCTCGAGTAAGACCCCCATAGAGAAGAACATGACTAGAGACTGTGTGTACGCTATCCTGTGCAGCTGCGGAAAGAAATATAAAGGGGAGACAGGCCGCCCCCTTAAGATAAGGCTCCAAGAACACCAAAAAAGCTGTAACACGAGGGGAAGTGGAAAAAGCAGGCGTGGCTGACCACATATGGAGAGAAAAGAGAGATCACCGCCCTCTGCGGGATCAGGTTGAGACCATAGACAAAGAACACCATTGGAAAATTTGTAAACTTAAGGAATCAGCACATATGTTACGCCACAAAAATCTCCTGAGCCAACCAAGTATAGAAATGAATACAATATGGGAACCAGTAACAAGGAGTGCCAGAGAAAAGCGATAATAACAATAAAAATTGCAATATAAGCTCTGTTAAAAACATGCAATGATGACAGCAAAATATTGCAATATGAGCACTGGTAAAAATGGTCGCTGATAACATTATGAAAATTAATACACAGATGTCCTCAAGGACACGTTGCACAATGGATAAAGCCGTTAGTTAGATCCAGTGACAGGACCCAAAGATTGTGAGAACTTGGAGAGAGGAATTAACAGGAGATAACTGACAACTGACATCCATTAAATATGACACGTGGAACGAAATGGAGTGAACGAAATAAAGGGTTCAGTTCGACATTCCAACCACTTGAAGAAGGCCAGAGCGTACAATGGCCGAAAAGTTGTAATAAATATGGCGACAAAGATGAGGACAATAGTCCGAATAATGTAAACAATGTACATATATATATATAGTGTACATAAAAATATAGACAGATACCTCTCAATTCGTATTTAAACCAACAAATATTGGTCTGCTTATTGAGAAATACTATTTTTGCAATAACAAGTCTTTAAAAAAAAAAACGATTGAATATACCAAGACCAACAAGTATTTTCATCAAATGGTTTAATAAACAACAGAAATAAAACCTTCGTGAACATAAGAACTATGGTCAAATTTTTCTCTTTCTTGATTGTCTGTCATGTTTAATGTTATTTATGTCCCTTTTGATACTCCAGCAGAGTCATGTACAATGGAATTGGTGCATTCAATTGGGATGTCTTTACTTGGAGTTTCTTTCTAACTGTGAAAACAAAATGCTCTCAATGTGCTTGGTTTCCTTCCGTAGTGAAGGGATAAAAGGGATGGCATAAATGTATGAATATCAAACAGAAGATTTTAGGGTTTCCGTTTTTTATGTCACCTTAATTATCAGGTTTACTAAATTGCATTACTGATAAAGTTTCTCAGTTAATTTGAATTTTGACGATAAATTGGAATTTTTGACTCAAAAACACTTTTTTCTTATAAAAAATAGTTTATTTCGGGTGGATGATATTAATTGTTCGGCCTACCTGAAACTTAATGGGTGTCTACGAGATTTATTAACTAAATTTTGCGATCAGGTCGTAAATTGATCTTTTTTTCCAAAAATGAGCAATTTCGGTACAGCAAAAATGGTAGCTAACCATGAAAAACTGAGGTCATTTTCGAAGTCAGCGGCCATCAAATTGGCTAAAAAAAAAACGTGTTTTGTTTATTGGTACAAAAAATTGTGTTGATCAGTATAATAGAAGTTATATCTCAACTAAAAACACTTTAGTTCCGTAGCATAAAAAGACATAAATGATTATATATTCCCCTAACGTAATATTAAAGATATTTATCCTTTCATCACTGAATACACACACACACACACACACACACACACACACACACACACACACACACACACACACACACATATATATATATATATATATATATATATATATATATATATATATTCCATAAGTCCCTCTCCTGAGCAAAGAAACACAAAAAATAACAGAAAATCAATTAGAATTATTTTTTAAAACGCCGAAAATAACTTTTATTCAACAACGAAACGACACGCGTTAAAAAGGAAATAAAGAAAACATTTAGCAGAACCATGTGAAGCTATGAACTTGTTGAAATACAAATTCTACAAGCACTACCTGAGATTATGAACTTAAAAAGACATTAAGATAGTACGGAGAAATCAAGCTAATAATCCCAAGAAATTACACCAATTAAAACAGACAAAATAAAACGAGACACATTGATCCCTAAGGAAGATCTGTTAGGAGCTATGACGGATAGGGAATACTGGAGAGGTGTAGTGAGTTCAATCTCGGCTGAGGCCGCAGGATGATGATGATGAAAACAGACAAAATCAGTAAATAGCTTATAAAAAGTTTGGAACAAATATTATTTACAATCGACATTAAAATAAGACAAGACTTTTTAGATTTAACTTTAAAACGCCACAAAATTATGTCAAACGTACAGAAAATCAAATGAAAATTCACTTCACGTCGACAGTTTCTACGCCGTTCCATTCAGACATATTTTATCTTGTATCAGAAGCGGATTATCTGACAACTTGTCAAATGAAAAGAAATCAGTAAAAAGATACTATGATACTATGAAAAAGATACTAGAAGAAGCAAAAATACAAAAGAAATAGAAACATCATATGATTCAATCGACCATATAATAAAAATGTAGACAGAAATATAAGTAAATATTAATCAAACACATCAGCAAACATTTCCACAAACCAAGCAAACTGCACAATATATTCAACAGAAATACTAAAAAAAAAATCCGATATTGGTAAACATAATACAAAAAAAGCATAAATGAAAATTAGTGGTGCGCAACATATACCCAAAGCTCCAGTCTGTAACTATAGAAAACGGTACAGATGCTCACTAAATATGAACTACCTGCAAAATAATGTCATATACAAAGCTCCAAAGAAAGCCCAGGAATAACAGGTAATTTAAAACAGAAAACAAAACAAACCAAAAATAACATGGAAAATAGAAAAAAAAAAATAACATCTTACAGTAACAGCTCAAAACGATATAAACTTTGTCTAGAGGAAGAAATAACGATAACTAACTTTCAAGGCACTATAAACGCGTAAAGAAAACACCAGGATCTCCAAATGCAGACACAAAAGAAAGAATTATTTCGACACTAACTGCGATCACCAAAAAAAAAAAAAAAAAAAAAGAAATAAAGTCCTTTAACCCAAATCTAACAAACTTTATTCCGAATATCAAAATTCATAATAAAAATACAAGTAAAAAAATGCAAAACGAATAAACTAATGACTTATATAAATAAATAAAATAAAATCAGTAAAATGTTTTTCAAATAAAATTTCTCGAATATTCAGAGCGATAGATGGAAATAAATAAATATTCTGTTTAATAAATAAGCTGAGCATTTACTCAAATATAGGTGTCCATTAAAAATAACATTAAAGTAATAAATAATATGTCGGATCATACATGAAAAAGCTATATATATATATATATATATATATATGTGTGTGTGTGTGTGTGTGTGTATGTTTGCATATATATATATATATATATATATATATATATTTTTATGAATGTATGTGTGTATATGCAAAACAAAAAATAAAAAGAAATATATATATATATACATTAAGAATTGGACAAAGTCCGACAATTTATTAAAACATTTTATGTTTAACATTCTTTTTTTATAGATACAAGTATTTAAGTAAATGCTCTGTTTATAATAAACAGTATTAAAGAACATTTACTGGCCTGAATGTCCGAGAAATTTTCACAGAAAATATTCGGACTTTGACAGGATTCGAACCTGCATCCTATACGGAGCCGTCATTTACGCAGACGTGCCTTAACCGACTCGGCCACAAAGGAGCTTGTGGTCACATAACTTTAAAACACCAGTTCTCGTATGATCAGTGAAGTTAAGCAACGTCGAACCTGGTTAGTACCTAGATGGGTGACCGCTTGGGAATACCAGATACTACAAGCGTAGACGTGCGAGTTTTATGTCTTAAAGCCATATCACAGTGAAACATTGGTTCTCGTACAATCAGCGAAGTTAAGCAACGTCGAACCTGGTCATGCCTAGATGGGTGACCGCTTGGGAATACCAGGTGCTGTAAGCATAGACTTACTTACCAAATATTTACATTTCGGCATTAAATAACTAACCCATGGAGGTGCTGATATGCCGCTAAAAAACAGCCAACCAAAAAGTAACAGAACATAAACGAAAGAACAAAATGATTTTGAGAGAGTTTATCCACAATTTCGATTCTGATATGCATCTTAGAAAATGGGAAAAAATACAGTCTGTTGAAATTAATAAACCTTATTTCGATGCTTTCTGCCTATATATATATATATATATATATATATATATAGTAGAATACATGACAACTGAACCTTCCGGATATGAGGAATTGGTTACAAAGTCTGGATATGAGAGATTATATTTAGATTAAAATAAAAGAACTGAAATCAGGTTTAACATTTATTTTCAATTTTTATAGTAAACAAAATAAGCTAATGGCGAGTGAAATATAACGGAATTGATTTTAAGGAAAAAGAAATAAATTATGTAATGTTAATGAAAATTTATTTAAATTAATTATGCCACGTATGCAAAACAAATAATGTAACGAGGGTTTTTTAATCACTGTTGCATGAGGATTCTTTCTCTTCTAATGTCATTCTCAACTTTTCTCCATTTCGTTTGGCTTTTGTTTTTGAAATTTATTAAACGAACGACACCTTTTAATTCTGCGTGTGTTATTGCAATCCTCATAGCTGAATGCTGGATTTTTTTCCATAGAACTGACAACTTTTCACTCACAATTTCAGTCCAGGTTTCATCCCAATCGTGTTTTTTATTTCTTTGTTCATTGTGACAGTGTGGACGCTGGAGAATAGTTTCTTTGGAAGATTATATATCATTTAATGTTGACTTGCCTATTTTGAACTCAGCCATTAGTTACAATAAACTTTCACCAGCGTCTAGTCTGTTTAAAATTTCCACTTTTTGCGATAATTCCAAAGTTGTTCTTTTCCTCTTATTCCCATCATCTTTTGCACCAATACAAGCCAATAGGGTGAAATAAGCATAAGCAAAGTAAATTTCAAATAAACATAAGTAAATTTCCTGAAAAACAGAAATTTCGAATCAGTTACATATCACCCAAATAATTCAAATATACACATCAAAATAATGTCCGGATATGCGGGATTCCAGATTTGAGGTACTCCGGATATGACGGATTACGGAAATAAGGGATTCTACTATATATATATATATATATATATATATTAGATAAAAACGTTGTCCTATCAAGCGGCATTTGAGCTAGTTCCTGCGTAGGGTTCTTCATTGGACGTTCATCACAGTAGGTAAGGATGAGTAAGATGTGATAGGCAACAATAAACTACAGAAGAACTCAAAATTGATCGCTGCATTTAAGTATTGCATTAATATTTAAGCTTACATTTTAAGAGTTCAACATTAATTTATCTGTCACCACATAATTTAAAGACAATGTGATGTACGTAGGTCTTCACTTTCCGTACAAACAATTATTTTTATTTCATGGGTGGCTTTACCTGGATTTCGTAATTAATTTCGATTATTCCAAAATTTATTTCCAACTTATAAAAATTGTTATTTAAAAAAAAAAAAATAATCACAAAAATTCAGGTAAAAAAATCTCCGAAAATTAATCTAGGCATATGGTTCTGTTGTTCATGTTTCGGTCACTCACGGGGTACGACGTCATAGAACTGCATGATGAACTTGTGACCAGCGTCTGCTATTCTGCGACCGTTATCGTCGCATGGCAATGGGTCTGTTCTGTGGGTGTTGACCACAAATTCGCCTGAGTAGGCGTCTGCAACACGGATAGATAGCCGTCTTAGAAGGCAGGCATATTCGGAAACTAAAAGCCAGTCATTGTTTATATTATAAATACTCAGTGAGGATACAATTTTAAATGTTGTTATTCTTTTTATTTCCATCTACTATAATTCTACTTGTAGACTTGCTTGGACTCCATAGAGTTTTTGTGGTATTATGTTGAATAATATCAGATCATTACAAAAGTTCGTGTACGATTTCTATTGTAAACCTAAAATGGCCGCTACTTGACACTGACGTTTGTTTCAGCGCCGATTTCTGGCGTGTGTTTGGGACCTTGCATCGTTCACTTGCGATTCAAACTTTGTCCCTGACTTAAAAGATGAAGGATGAAATGTTGCCCTTTCGCCATATTATGCTCTGTGAATTTCGGAAAGGCGTAAGCGTCGGAACTGCGACAAAAAACATACAGAAGGTTTATTTAGATTATGCTACAGTTCTTCAGAGTGTCAAAAAACAGTTTGGGGTATATTTCGTCGAGGTGATTTTAAACTAAACTACCAACTATGCTCCTGGCGAAATTCTGACATCGATGAAGATTCTTTGCATGCTACTGTGGAGAATAAAACCTGAAGAGATTGCTAAAAGTTTGAAAATTGATATCTCAACTATCTTTTGCCGTTTGAAGCGTCTTGGGCTCAAGAAAAACGAACGATTTTGGCAAATCGAAAATGTGTCATTTTCCATGAAGACAAGACCGCCATGTTGCAAAACAGACGCTTCAGAAGCTTCAAGAGTTTGTTCTGATGTTTTAAGTAGGGATTGCAGTCAGAATTGGTTCCAGACTACAAGGCTATTGATATTGGCTTACGTAGTAAGATTACACATAATGTCTGCTCGTAGGCGTATGCTAAACACAGAGATGAACTGGGAAACCTCCAGCACCTACTGTATTTTCCTAACTTTGCTCATTCGGACTTTTGTTTGGTCCGCTCTCTTGAAAAATTGAAATGACAAAAAAAAAAAAAAAAATTGACTCTGTGCAGTCAGTCGAAAACTACCTTATATCCTTCTTCCAACAGAATAAAAAAATGAAGTTTCAACAAAAATGATATCAATATTGTTGTGGATTCCGGGATGAAATCCGGTCTCAAATGAATGACAAACGCAGGAATGAAATATAGCAAATAAATGTATTGACGTAATAATACAATTGGTAATACGGTAAGTAGATCCAGAAATGCGGTTAGTAGCAATAATAATAAATATACAGTCTGGGAAATTCAGTATCGAAGTAGGACTTCCTTCTGAGTCTACGTGCTCGCAACTGTGACTCCTACAAAGCGGTTATCTCACTCTCTCACTGTCTCACTTCCGGGTATTCACCGGCAGCAGTACAAGTACACACCGGGCGAGTCCACTTGTATAAAAAGGGGTGGATTCCTTAACAAATAAACTTGTAGAACGACGGGAGACAATTGTGAAAATAAATGGAAACTATTTACTTTACTAATAAATTCTGTTTTTTGTGTTTTTATGATTGCGTAATTTTTTTTTATTTACTAATTGGACACAAACTTTTGCACTGATCTAATATTATTATGTAGTAAGTATAAAAAAATGTGTTGATTTTCCTTCGAAGAATATTGTTCAATGATTGGTCCAGTGACTGTGACTGGTTAAGACAAAGCAAGCCAGTGGTCTCCATTTCTGATTTTAAAGAGACTCGAGGCGACGGAGGTATGGTTCTACAGGAGGATGCTAAGGATATAATGGACCGAGCGTGTGAGCAACGATGAGTTCTTACAGGAGCTGTAAACAAGAAGAAGGCTTATATTTGACACCAGGAAGAGGCAACTGAAGTTTCTGGGACATATATTGAGGAAGTAGGGCCTGGAGAATCTGATACTCACGGGTCGAATAGAGGTAAAGAGAGACAAGGGGAAACAACGCGTTACATACCTGGTGAGCATGGGCAGGTGGATGACAGAGGGAAGGAACATGCTGAGAGCTGCAAGGGATAGCGGGAGGTGGAGAGCCATGATCGCATACGTACTGAAAAGACGTGGCACATAATAAGAAAGAATCATATTTCGGTATTTTTCACAGAAATAAATAATGTACTTTAAGTCAAGTTAGTAGTCATATTAATCGACTTGTCAATACCATTGAAAACATTTAAACGCATCAAAACTTTCATTTTTGGTTATGTTAGTCAAATACTAATGAAGGATATCTAAAAAGAAACTCATTTTAAACAATGAATTTAATTTCTTCGTGAATTAAAAAATTATTTGCACTTTATTTATAATATAAGGAGTCTGTAAATAGTCTTTGAAATCCTGTTAAATTCATTCATAGTTCATTACGAGCGAATCTCAGTAAAAATTCAAGACCTAGTTTGTCGCAATTCTAAAGGGAATATTAAACACTGCAGGTAAACGAAACAAATGTTTTGTCGAGTTGTTTTCCCGTTCGTCTAACGGGAATGGGTCGTCTGTTCTAACATCCGTATTCAGACAAAGGCTATTCAAATATGCAGAGTTTGCGACCGGGCTGGCAAGTGGCCTTGCGTACAAGCCAATAATTGACACTGCAGGTGGAGGGCGAAAACGATAAAGAAATGAACCAAATACCCGTAAAATATATATATATATATATATATAGATATAAATAAACCAGCAAAAAAGAGAAAACGGCAACTAAAAAATTAAGAGGAAAAAAAAACATTGAGACACACACACACACTCACACACACAAACACAGGCATTTATTTCTTGGTCATTATAATTACCTCCCTTGATCATTGTGTTTTTATCCGCCATTTTATATTTTTTTTATTTTTCCATTTTATTATATTTAAATTTTATTTTCATACTTATAATTTTCTTCTCGCCTTTCTTTTCTTCCACTTATTTTAGTTAACTTTATATTTTTAACGTTCAATATGAAAAACCCGTGACATTAACTATCACCACAGCAGCGTCTAGATTGCCAGAGATGTTTTGGTTAAAACCGTAAAACTGTCATTTGAATTCAGGAGCCAAAGATTGCGTCATGCATGAAACTCAGATTCGTGTTAGAGGTGGTATATATATATATATATATATATATATATATATATATATATATATATATATATATACCGTCCTGCAAGACGATAAACTACATCCGCGACCTGGGTAAGACGATAAAATACATCTAACAGCATGGCATCTGATCAGGAGGTTTTGAGGAACATGGAACCATCTCTTAATTGCTGGTGTTCCCAGGTCCACGCTGACCAAGGGTGTTAGCACCTGTTAAGGTCCCAGATATGGGCAAATAATTAACACCCAAACTAGGGTCAAACACTATGAAAGTGTGAAAATAGATTTTAATACCAGCAATACAATTTAGCCAAAAAACGATTAGCAGCAATGAATTTTTGAATAAAAAAATATTACCAGCAATACATTATTAATAGCAATACATGTTTGAAGAAAATATAATCACTAATACATTTTTGAAGAAAAATATTACCAGCAATAAAAATCTTGTCGGCATTAAACAATCCATGTATATATATAAATCCTAAAGAGCCAGGAACAACCTAGCTGGGTTCGACCTAAACAGATCTTCAGGGTAATTTGGCTCTTTAGGATTTATTTTATTTATCCCAGCTCCACTTAGCGCATTGAGCAGTCTACGATTTTACTCTATTACTCGCTTGCTTATTTTCTTCTTTGGACTAAAATCTTATGGCACTGGACGATTTGTTTCGACCTATTCAAATGTTTCTAGTTCTTTCTTTTTTTTTCGAATTATTTTCCTCGGATAGCAATTTGCTTTTAAATAATTACAAGTTGTGTTATCCGAGGTTTTTTTTCCAACAGAATATTACTATTAGTATATATATATATATATATATATATATATATATATATATATATATATATATATATATATATAGTATATCCAGTGATTCGCTAAAAAATGTGAAAACCATGAAGAAAAATGCCTCAAACATAATAAAGTTTTATCGTAAAAATCTTTATGCTATTATTAAATGGAAAAACCAAAGGACCAAAGGATTTTTTATTATTAAATTGTGTTTTGGGATCCATTTTAGAACGTTTGAAATGACGAGCTATTTTTTTCCTTTGTGCCCCGAATACACGAATCTAATCATGCTACAAGATTGTCATCTTAGTCCCACCCGTTTACTATTGATGTAGCTAAATGCAACCGCCAACAGTTTCTTTTCTCGCACTTCCCACTTGTGGAAATCTTTTCCGTCGATCTGCTTCCCTGAAACCTAAAATCTTCAAAAATTTAAACACAACGTCTGTCGCCATAGTCTATCTTCTTGAATCCCGTTCATTTAAGTCCTTTCTTTAATCCCCGCCATACTCAGTCTTTTCTCTCACTTTCACTCCCTGTAATCCTCCTGCATTCCCGCCTTTCTTAGGGTGAAATAATTACACATATACACGGTGTCATAAACTCCGTGTGCACTTTAAAAATTTTTTAACTTTATTTGTATTTCCGATAGAAATAATCTGTAAAAAATGTTTAATGTACCGAGTTTTAAGTATAGCTAAAATAACTAATGTAATTTCAGGCATTACTGTAAATCACCTGGCAAATGTTTTCAGTGAACTGCAAAATCGTATTACCCTTTGTATTGCTAATGATGCAGGACATGTGGAAACTTAAATAAAATTTCAATAAAACCTTAAAAATAATAGATTTACTTCTTTCTAATCCTTTTTACAAATTATTTATATTGCAAATACAAATAAAGTTAAAAAAAATTTTAAAGTGCACACGAACTTTATGGACATCCTGTATATACAGGATACCTCACAAAAAACAGTGAATATCGTACAGTTTGTTTAATTATTGGAATTTTTGTTGCTGTTATTTGAAACAAAAGCAAAGGATAGACATTTTGTAGCTTAAAACACAACAAAGAGTCAAATGTTAGATGGTGGACAAATGTGATATGGTGGACTCTCTCGGGTTGTTCGACGTATGAGGGTCAGCAACACAGAGTTGTCCTTCTCCTTGACCAGTGGCCTGTCCTGCTAATTACCCGTAGGTGGAGGTAGAAGAAGAGGATTCATACCTTTCCCAAGGGTATTAGCACGTAAGTGAATGTAACACATTCGAGTGGAATTCGAACTGGCTATATATATATATATATATATATATATATATATATATATATATATATATATATATATATATATTAACCACTAATACATTCCATCTATCTATCTATCTATATATATATATATATATATATATATATATATATTATAATTTATCATACAGACAAAACGATTTTACTCACTACAAAGATGCAACTTGCTTTCAGTGCATTTCAACTGCACTTCGACGGGTGACAATCGAAAATGGTTATGAACAATTCTGCTTGTAGGCAAGCCGTATGTCAAGATGAGGACAATAGTCGGAATAATGTAAATAGTGTACATAATACCTCATCTCAGAAATATTGACAGATACTGAAAGGGCGAAACGTTGTAATGAATATGCCGACAAAGATGAGGACAATAGTTCGAATAATGCAAATAGTGTACATAATACCTCATCTCAGAAATATAGACAGAGATCGAAACATTGTAATAAATATGGCGACAAAGATGAGGACAATAGTCCAAATGATGTAAATAATGTACATAATACCTGATCTGAGAAATAGATATTCGTGTGCGTGTGTGTGCGCGCATAGCATATATGAAGATCAAAAGGGAACGAAATCAAAATAAATATCAACGAATTAAAAAAATATTTCGTATAAATCAATAAGGTAAAGGTTCCATCCACTTTTTCCTTGTCGTCTATCTGAAAATGACCCGTTACTGGCATGTCACATTAACTGACGTATAGAGAGCACACGAGTACTTATTTCTGCAAACCAGATTCCCACACCACCCTTAACTTCCCGGGTAGTTACATGCAAAACCTGTTACCCATATCGTCACCTTTGAAAGGGGTCATTAATATATTTGCACTTCTGCCTTAGAGGCCTCATGAATAAGTCAGGGTTGAAACCGGTAGCTGAATTTATTTGCATGTCTGTCTCCCCAGTCCAGTCCTTTCCACCGTTCACATTCAATTGCAGACGTGGACCGAGCCTATGAAAGCTTTAAGAAATGGGGGTCAGTTCCTAGGATGGGTGGCGATCCAGAAATACGACACTGGCTGTTGGACGATCATCATGAATATTTCTCAACGGTAATATCATAAATCTTTTGTTAACGCATTCTAAAATGCTTTTTACCAAGTACGATTGCCGGTCTTTCAGACTCCTCCCCCACCCCCGGAAAAAAAGAAAAAAAGCAAATGACTGTTTTCACTCTGTACAGCCCGGTAAGCCATGGATATTTACTAAGATCAGCTCTGTTTGGCACAGGGTCAGAAGTATGGAGCACCCTGTAAGGATAGATAATTTACTATGTGAAATAGAGAATTGAAAGGTGTGTTTGAGTAGAAGAGAGAAAACGATGAGTGGGAGGAATAAACGAAGCGAGAGAGAGAGAGTGATGAGTGAGAAAAGAAGACAGATTAAGGTGCTTAAAAGAGAAAGAATGTGTGTATTCGTGTAAGAGTGAGGAAAAGAGGAGGCGTTCGGAAGAATGTAATAGAAAGAATGCGAAAGGATGTGAGAGAGATAGACAGACAGATGGAAAGAGAAACGAGACGTTTAGTGTGAGAGACACACACACAAGGACAGATAGGGAAGGAGGTCAAGGGAGAGAAAACAAGTTAATACAATAACCAGACACCACTGAGAAAATGAGAAGACTAGAGAGAAAAAGAAAGAAAGAAAGAAAGACAAAGAGAGAAAAGGGCGGGAAACAAAGCAACAGAAAGATAAGACAAAGAAATAGAAAAGAGAGAGAAAAGTATTTAGTGAGGTATAAATTGACAGAGGGAGAGAAAGAGAGGAGTTGTGTAGAGAGAATAAGAGAGGGCAAGATAGAGAAGTGTAAAAAGAAGAGAGCTGGTGAATTTGACTGACAGTGAGAGATATGTTGATTAGGATAGAGAGTGATAGAGACAAAGAATAGGCAAATGGGAGAAAGAGAAAGATAGAGACGAAGAATAGGTACATGGGAGAGGGGAGAAAGAGAGAGATAGAGACAAAGAATAGGTACATGGGAGAGGGGAGAAAGAGAGAGAGAGATAGACACAAAGAATAGGTACATGGGAGAGGGGAGAAAGAGAGAGATAGATACAAAGAATAGATACATGGGAGAGGGGAGGAAGAGAGAGATAGACACAAAGAATAGGTACATGGGAGAGGGGAGAAAGAGAGAGATAGACACAAAGAATAGGTACATGGGAGAGGGAGAAAGAGAGATAGATACAAAGAATAGGTACATGGGAGAGGGGAGAAAGAGAGAGATAGACACAAAGAATAGGTACATGGGAGAGGGGAGAAAGAGAGAGATAGACACAAAGAATAGGTACATGGGAGAGGGGAGAAAGAGAGAGATAGATACAAAGAATAGGTACATGGGAGAGGGGAGAAAGAGAGAGATAGACACAAAGAATAGGTACATGGGAGAGGGGAGAAAGAGAGAGATAGACACAAAGAATAGGTACATGGGAGAGGGGAGAAAGAGAGAGATAGATACAAAGAATAGGTACATGGGAGAGGGGAGAAAGAGAGAGATAGATACAAAGAATAGGTACATGGGAGAGGGGAGAAAGAGAGAGATAGATAAAAAAATAGGTACATGGGAGAGGGGGAAAGAGAGAGATAGAGACAAAGAATAGGTACATGGGAGAGGGAGAAAGAGAGAGATAGACACAAAGAATAGGTACATGGGAGAGGGGAGAAGAGAGAGATAGATACAAAGAATAGGTACATGGGAGAGGGGAGAAAGAGAGAGATAGACACAAAGAATAGGTACATGGGAGAGGGGAGAAAGAGAGAGATAGACACAAAGAATAGGTACATGGGAGAGGGAGAAGAGAGAGATAGATACAAAGAATAGGTACATGGGAGAGGGGGAGAAAGAGAGAGATAGATACAAAGAATAGGTACATGGGAGGGGGGAGAGAGAGAGATAGATACAAAGAATAGGTACATGGGAGAGGGGAGAAAAAGAGAGATAGATACAAAGAATAGGTACATGGGAGAGGGGAGAAAGAGAGAGAGATATACAAAGAATAGGTACATGGGAGAGGGGAGAAAGAGAGATAGATACAAAGAATAGGTACATGGGAGAGGGGAGAAAAGAGAGATAGATACAAAGAATAGGTACATGGGAGAAAGAGAGAGATAGATACAAAGAATAGGTACATGGGAGAGGGGAGAAAGAGAGAGATAGACACAAAGAATAGGTACATGGGAGAGGGGAGAAAGAGAGATAGATACAAAGAATAGGTACATGGGAGAGGGGAGAAAGAGAGATAGATACAAAGAATAGGTACATGGGAGGGGGAGGGGAGAAAAGAGAGATAGACACAAAGAATAGGTACATGGGAGAGGGAGAAAAGAGAGATAGATACAAAGAATAGGTACATGGGAGAGGGGAGAAAGAGAGAGATAGACACAAAGAATAGGTACATGGGAGAGGGGAAAGAGAGAGATAGACACAAAGAATAGGTACATGGGAGAGGGGAGAAAGAGAGATAGACACAAAGAATAGGTACATGGGAGAGGGGAGAAAAGAGAGATAGACACAAAGAATAGGTACATGGGAGAGGGGAGAAAGAGAGAGATAGATACAAAGAATAGGTACATGGGGGAGAGGGGAGAAAGAGAGAGATAGATACAAAGAATAGGTACATGGGGAGGGGGGAGAGAGATAGACACAAAGAATAGGTACATGGGAGATGGGAGAAAGAGAGAGAGATAGAGACAAAGAATAGATACATGGGAGAGGGGAGGAAGAGAGAGATAGACACAAAGAATAGGTACATGGGAGAGGGGAGAAAGAGAGATAGACACAAAGAATAGGTACATGGGAGAGGGAGAGAGAGAGATAGACACAAAGAATAGGTACATGGGAGAGGGGAGAAGAGAGAGATAGATACAAAGAATAGGTACATGGGAGAGGGGAAAAAGAGAGATAGATACAAAGAATAGGTACATGGGAAAAGGGGAGAAAGAGAGATAGATACAAAGAATAGGTACATGGGAGATGGGAGAAAGAGAGAGAGATAGAGACAAAGAATAGATACATGGGAGAGTGGAGAAAGAGAGAGATAGACACAAAGAATAGGTACATGGGAGAGGGGAGAAAGAGAGAGATAGATACAAAGAATAGGTACATGGGAGAGGGGAGAAAGAGAGAGATAGACACAAAGAATAGGGGTACATGGGAGAGGGGAGAGAGAGAGAGATAGATACAAAGAATAGGTACATGGGAGAGGGAGAAAAGAGAGATAGATACAAAGAATAGGTACATGGGAGAGGGGATAAAGAGAGAGATAGACACAAAGAATAGGGTACATGGGAGAGGGAGAAAGAGAGATAGATACAAAGAATAGGTACATGGGAGAGGGGGAGAAAGAGAGAGATAGATACAAAGAATAGGTACATGGGAGATGGGAGAAAGAGAGAGAGATACATACAAAGAATAGGTACATGGGAGAGGGGAGGAAGAGAGAGATAGACACAAAGAATAGGTACATCGGAGAGGGGAGAAAGAGAGAGATAGAGACAAAGAATAGGTACATGGGAGAGGGGAGAAAGAGAGTGATAGACACAAAGAATAGGTACATGGGAGAGAGGCGAAAGAGAGAGATAGACATAAAGAATAGGTACATGGGAGAGGGGAGAAAGAGAGAGATAGAGAGAAAGAATACGTATATGGGAGAGGGGAGAAAGAGAAAGATAGAGAATGAATAAGGTATCTGGGAGAGGGGAAAAAGTGAGAGATAGAGACAAAGAATAGGTACATGGGAGAGGTGAAAAAGAGAGAGATAGACACAATGAATAGATACATGGGAGAGGGGAGAAAGAGAGAGATAGAGACAAAGAATAGGTATATGGGAGAAAGAGAGAGACAGAGACAAAGAATAGGTACATAGGGGAGGAGAGAAAGAGAGAGATAGAGTCAAATAATAAGGTACATCGGAGAGGTGAGAAAGACAGAGTCAAAGAATAAGTTACATCGGGGAGCGGAGAAAGAGAGAGATAGAGAATAGGTAAATCAGAGAGGGGAGAAAGAGAGAAATAGAGACACAAAGAATAGATAAATGGGAGAAGAGAGAAAGAGAGTGATCGAGATAGAGAATAGGTAAATGGGTGAGGAGAGAAAGAGAGGGACAGACAGAAAGTATAGGTACATGGGAGAGGGGAGAAAGAGAGAGAAAGAGACAAAGAATAGGTACATGGGAGAGGGGAGAAAGAGAGAAATAGAGACACAAAGAATATATAAATGGGAGAAGGGAGAAAGAGTTTGATTGAGATAGAGAATAGGTAAATGGGAGAGGAGAGAAAGAAAGAATTAGAGAGAAAGAGATCAACAGTAAGTCGCTAAATAGGAAAGAATGCGAGTGTAAAAGGGAGTGAGGCAGATTGAGCTTTTTAGAGAGAGGGAGAGGGCGTTGAGAAAAATGAAAAGATGCAGAAAGGAAAGAAGAAAAAAAATGAAAGAAGCACAATAAAGTTGCAGAAAAAGAAGGAATAAAAGAAGCTAAAAGAAAAGGAAAGGGAGAAGAGAAAAAAAGGTGGGAAAAGTTAGAAACAGATTAAAAAGTAAAGGAAAAAAGAGAAGAAAGAAAGCAATAAAAGAAGAGAACAAAGGAAAAAAAAACAAGGAGAAATAAGAAAGTGAGAATGAATGAATGAAGAAAATAAATGAAGGACGAATGGGAATCAGAACGAAATAAAGAAAGCAAAAGAAAAGAAAAGAAAGAATAAATGAAGGAAATAAAGAAAAGAGAAAAAAGAAAAGAACTAAAGAATGAACGTAGGAAATGTGAGGATGAACTTAATAATAAATGCAAGCTAAAACGAAAAGAGAAACACTGGATATATCGGGGAAAAAACGACGTGAAAAAGAGAAGCGTACTTATGTGAAAGGAATGACGGGAAGAAAAGACAGTAAAGACGAAAAATGACGAAGAACTTCAAAATAGAAAGACGCAAACAGCAATAGATCGAAAAAGAGGCCAGAAAAGAAAAAAGGCTCAAGAGAAAGAAAAACGAACCAATCTTTAAACAGTCCGAATTGAATGTGAAAAAAAAATGATATGTTAATAAAAAGTAGAGAAAACAAAACGAAACAGAAATACAAGCGCTAAAAAAACAAAAAAAAAAAACAAACAAAAAAAAACACAATAGTATCAACGAACAACGAAAAATATATCTTCTGTTCTTTTATTTCAAAGACAATCAGCTCATAAAAAACGATCTGAGCGGAGGGCATCCATTTCCCACCTTTCCTTTTCATAATGTCCATACAAGATCGATTATCGAACATCGACTTCAGTAATTGGTCGAACCATGTCCCTTGGCGTCATTATTGTTGTTTCTGCTTGGCACTTGAGAAGAAAAAAAAAAGTGAAAATCAAATTAAGTTAAAAAAAAAAAATAAAGCAATTGGTTCAATGTGGTATTTCAAAGGTTTGCAAAAAGCGTCCTAATTGTGCTGGAAAATCAAGTAAAAGACAATATGAAACATTCAGTGTTTGCCAAGCGTTTATATCTCTACCCCAACTCCATCGTTTTTCTAAACGGTTAATACACACAATCGTTATATATATCATACTTAGTCTGGAACAAGGCCACAAATACAGAGCCCCCCAAAAGAAAAGGGTTGATATCGACACTCAAGGTCTACCATTTTTTTACCAAAACCTTCATACTAAGAAGAAAGAGTATGATTTTTAGCTAAGTCTGGCATAAGGTTACAAGAACGAGGCACAAAACAGGGGTAAACTTACTACTATATCGAATTCATATTTCCCAAGATTAGTTCAATGTGCTTAGCTTTAAATATTGAGCCCTGATGAGGATCGAACTAACTATACCAGAAATATGTTTTTATTCTTTCATTAGGCTTCGGACATATTAACGAACATGCAAAGATAAGTAATTCATTAATAATATATATGAGCGTATAATAAAATATAATATATATATATATATATATATATATATATATATATATATATATATATATAAGTTCTAAAATCTAAAGTTCACTAAAGACGTGAAATTAACAGTCTCCATGCAATCACGATTGCTACGCACACACTGCCCATATTAACATATACTCCATCTCTGATATTAAGCACACCTCCCCTATAAATATACCAAATTTATATATATATATATATATATATATATGAAGAAATATAGTCTGTCTATATTTCTGAGATGCACATTATTTACATTATTCGGACTTTGTCGCCATATTTATCAGAACGTTTCGATCGTTGTACGCTCCGACCTTCTTCAGGTGATTGGAATGTCGAAATTAACCCTTTATTTCGCTCACTGGGGTAGACTGTTCTAGTTCCACGTGCCATATATGATGGATGTCAGTTATCAGTTATCTACTGTTAATTTCCCTCTGAAAGTTCTCCACTGCCTTAACCACGTATTGAACTCACACTCTTTGGGTACTGTCACTGGATCTAACCAACGCCTTTATCGACTGTGAGGACATCTGGGTATGAATTTCTGGGTATTATAAAACTAATGTCTTCAGCAACCAGTGCTCATATTGCAATTTTGCTGTTATCATTGCATGTTTTTACTAGAGCTCATATTGCAACTTTGTTATCATTGCTTTTCTCTGGCACTCCTTATTACTGGTTCCCATATTGTATTTATTTTTATATTTGATCGGCTCAGGAGATTTTTGTGGCCTAGCATATGTGCTGATTCCTAAGTTTACGAATTTTCCAATGGTGTTTCTTGTCTATGATCTCAACTTGATCCCACAGAGGGCAGTGATCTCCCTTCTCTTTCCATATGTGGTCAGCCACGCCTGATTTTTCTACTTCCCCTCGTGTTACAGCTTTCTGGTGTTTTTGAAGCCTTACCTTGAGGGGGCGGCCTGTCTCTCCTTTATATTCATTTCCGCAGCTGCACGGGATAGTGTACACACAGTCTTTAGTCATGTTCTCCTCTATGGGGGGGGGTCTTACTAGGGAGAGTTATTTGCAGTCGTCAAGCTTCTGAAGGTTGTCCTGATGTTATATGGACCGCAGATCCTGTGTATTTTCTCTGATAACCCCTTCACATAAGGCAGGCAGACGGCCGAAACGTTTTGATAAATATGGTGACAAAGATGAGGTCAATAGTTCGAATAATGTAAATAATGAAGAAATATATGCTTAAGATGTGCTATATTTATGGGATAAAGTGCTCAATATCAGAGATAGAGCGTGTGTAAATATAAAAATGAACATTGAAGTCAACACTTAGAGGCGACAGTCTGTTTCATGCTAGACGCAATCGTCAGGTCACGAGTGCTGTTATTTTTCTCGGCTATTTATATATACGGGTCAGTGGTGCATTGTGGGTAGTCTATTTAGGCGGTTATTTTACCGGAAGTCGTTTATTTGTTTATTTATTTGGTTTAAATTACTTTGTTTGTCATTATTTTTTATTTTTATCTCTCATCTTATATATTTATTTTTTTATTTTTATTTTAATCGGTGTCTTTATTAACGTAGTAAAAAATTGTTTATTTAATAGTTTTGTTTTGGTTTGGGAAGATAATTAAAGCTATTTATTCAATTTTGGGGTTGATTGTTGTAGTTTATTCTAACTATTATTTTGGCGAGAGCAGTTTTTAATTTGTTTATTACTTCATGTATTTATTTGAATTATCTTTATTTGTTTTTTTCTAACGGTTAATGTATCGGGATCGGTTTTTTAGTTTATTTATTTATTTGGATGAATTTAGATTAATTTATTTTACTTGTTTTTTATTATTTATTTATTATACTGTACATTTTTATTTACTCTTTTCGGTTTTCGATTTTTAAGTAACGTAGTTTTTTTATCGTTATATAACAGTTATAGCTATGTTTTTCGTCCGATTTTTGATTTGAATTTTATATTCTAACTAATATTTTGGTCATAATGGTTTGCTAATTTGTTTATTTTTTACTTTATTTATTTGGGTTCATTGATTTTGTTTTTTTATTTTTTATTTATTTATTCTATTTCTCCTATTGTAACGGGTGTGATTTGGTTATTTGTTTGGCTTAATTTATTTTACTAATTTTATTACTATTTCATATATATATATATATATATATATATATATATATATATATATATATATATATATATATATTTCTTCTAGTTATAGGGGAATTAATATGGACAGTGTGTGCGTAGGAGATCCTGACTGCATGGAGACTGTTAATTTCACGTCTCTAGTAATCTTTAGAACATGTATCACTATTATTTTAGCGGACTCTATATATAGGTCACTGAAGGATTAGGGAAAGTGGAGGAAGATCGAAACTGGTCCTCCCCACTTCTTTTGTTTAGGCTAAGGCTTTGCATTATATCGGGTGTCACATCAAAATTGTTCAAATCATTTACGTATTTGAAATGAAATTTATTACATTTAGTTCACATGATTTTATTTAGTCTTTGTGTTCATTATTTTGTTGGAAGTGTTATAGTATTTGTTTGCATTTCTTTATATAGAAACGAACACCAATCTGATTATGGCCATTTTCTTCTCTAGGCAAAGGTTACATCATCATTTTGAGCTTGTGATATTTTTATTTTGCAGTGTTAATTTTGGTGTGTTAGAATCTTTTTTGAGTTGATATATGTGATTTGGGAGTATTGTGCTGTTTACAAATTTTGGGCTGTTAAGTGATGCTTTGTGCATGTAGCATTTCTGATTCCCTGGACTTTCTGGGTTTCCTTTGGACCATACCGTAGTTTTGTATATTACGTTATTTTATAGGCATTTACCGTCCAGTGGGTATTCCGACATTTTTCCAACTACGCGCAGGGTTTGTGGTTGTTTGTGGTGCATTGGTGATTTTTCTGTTGTCTTTTATGATTTATAATATATTTTCTTTATTATCTGTAAATTGTAAAGACATTATGGGGAAAGATATTGGAAATGTTTCTTGTTATCTTCTAAATGGTTGTAGCAGTTTTACTTCTTTTAGAGTGGTTGGCCCTCAAGAATAAAGACGCCATCTATTCTGATATTTAAACTGGGAATGGGAACAAAAGACAGATTCATGACTTTCCAAATGACAATCGGGCGAAAGTGAAGCCAGCAGACTTTGAACTCGGCTTTTCGGTACATTACTCGCATCCCAAGCTTGTGATTGTTAATAGGTTCTCTACACTTCTGATCTTGTGTCAGACTAAATTAAGTTTAGTTGAGTTAGTGTTTTACCGAAATACAATTCTTTTATTTCTATAAAAATGACTGGGAAAAATGTTGCCAAAGGCACAGATTATTGTTTTGGGCGTTGAACATTTTCCAAGAATGCTTCGGCAGATTTAATGACTGGAAGAACCTCATCTTTAGCCGTAAAAAAAGGTAAAAAAAAAGTCACCTGTTTCTGTTGGGGGGGGGGTCAATAATGCTTAAAGCGTTGCTCGTTATCTGTTGTATCGAACAAATTAGATTTTGTACGTTCGATAAAGATGGCTGCTTCTGTTGGTTCTGTTACAATTTCATCTGTCCCATTATCATTCTATATATTCAACGAAGACTGTGAAGCACTTTACGAATTTAAACCAGATATTTACGGAATCATACTTAGAAAAATTCAGTTCCAAAAACGGAATTAAGGAAGGAATTTTTTTTTGTAAATTTTTTCTTTAAACATCTTTTCCTTGTTTCTTTTTTTTATAATTAGTTTATTATTTTTTTTCTCTGAGCGCTTATCTTGTTTCATATTACGAAAGGAAACTTGTTAAATATTCGCCTGATATCTTCATTTAATGACCATTTCAATGCTGGTATATTTAAAACAAAGCACCACCAAAATGGCCGTCACTTCCTGGTTTCACTTAATTTGTTCCGGTAGATTTTTTGGCGTATTTGTTAATTTTTTTTCGCATTTCTTCGTAAAAAAACGGCTATTTTACTCCCTTTTTCTTCTTCATTTAAATTGCTTTCCTTTTCTATTTTTTTTTTACTGTTATAACGAATTGCCATTTCGATGAAATGTAAATTTAGTTGATAGAAACTCTTCATTTGTTGAAGAGAGATAGTATAATGGTAATGAAAGAGAGAGAGAGAGGGATAGAGAGAGAGAGACAGACAGACAGAGAGAGAGAGGGATAGAGAGAGAGAGACAGACAGAGAGAGAGAGAGGGATAGAGAGAGAGACAGTGAGAGAGAGAGGGATAGAGAGAGAGAGACAGACAGACAGAGAGAGAGAGAGGGATAGAGAGAGAGAGAGACAGACAGATAGAGAGAGAGAGAGAGGGATAGAGAGAGAGAGAGACAGACAGAGAGAGAGAGAGGGAGATAGAGAGAGAGAGACAGACAGACAGAGAGAGAGAGAGAGGGATAGAGAGAGAGACAGACAGAGAGAGAGAGAGGGATAGAGAGAGAGACAGACAGACAGACAGAGAGAGAGAGGGATAGAGAGAGAGAGAGAGACAGACAGACAGAGAGAGAGAGAGAGAGAGAGAGAGGCAGAAATTAAATTAAAAACAATATTCTACATTTAACAAAATTAGTTTGGTTTGTTTTGTTTTGCGGTATATCAACCTCAATGGGTTATTTGATGCCGGAAAGATTCTTATTGCTGGTAATAATTTTTTCCAAAAATGTATTACTGGCAATAATTTTTTTCTACAGAAATATAGTGCTGGTTATAAGTTTTCAAAAAATATTGCTGGTATTAAAACCTATTTTTATACTTCAATAGTATTTTGATCTCTTTTGTGGGAGGGGAGTTAACTATTTGCACATAGCTGGAACCCTGACAGGTGCTACCACCCCGGGTCAGAGTGAACTTGGGAACACCAGCAGTTAAGTGGCTCCATGCTCCTCAAAACTTCCTGACTAAAAGCCTTGCTGTCGGATGTAGTTTATCGTCTTACTCAGGACGGAACAACATTGTATTTCCTTAGCAAACAAAACAGAATATAAAAAAAAAGTTTAAGGTGAGTATATTCTTGTTGAAGATGTTGAGAGACTTACTATGAAGGAGAGTTTTTTGTCGGTTTGGTCAGCATTGGGTCTTTGCGGGCTGGCGTTGTGCACAATGCGACACGCGGTTCGCTGGAGCGTAAGAAGTTCCCCCAAAGAGAACACGAGAGATTTTCTTGTTCCTACGGCATTCGAAGACTAAAGCTAGAAGCGGCATTTGCGCGCGCACTCAAATAGTATGCCGTAGAAGGTCGCGTTTAAAGAGAGGATCTCATGTGGAAATCCCATGTAAACTCTTTTCACGTTCAGTCCATATGGCACTTTGCCGAAGGACATATACGACCTGGGAAGTCGGCCCACTGAGATTGAACTTGAAAAGTTTATGTTCGTTTCTCAGTGCAGGAGGAAGCAGAGAGAGAGAGACAGAGAGAGAGAGAGAGAGAGAGAGAGAGACAGACAGACAGACAGACAGACAGACAGACAGACCTAACATTTTCTTTACATGCTGCCACCCCACGACTGCTATCGTGGCAGACAAATGGAGAAATGGCGATTCTATAAGCGTAATTTAGGTGTGGCACACGGCCGAAAGTATGGGGCATCCAGTGTGGATCGAACTCGCTAGCTAGTTTCCACACGCAAATAGAGTAAAAATACAGTATTTCTTTCTTTCTTTCTTTCTTCGATTCTCCTTGATCCTATTTTATCTTTTTCTCTCTATAAAAACAAAAACAACAAAAAAATGCAATAACCTTATTTTGAAGACAAAACGACAAAAAATGAATTTAAACACTAAAACAATAAAAATATAAAAAGTAAAATAAAAAAAGATGAATATAAAATCGTTTTGAAAATAATAAAAGTATTGTTAGAATAAATATGGCGTCTTCTTGTTCGCTTACAATTTTTCCAACTCAACAAAAGCGTTCAAAACAGCACAAACACTTGAGTTCAGAAAATAAAGTGTGTAGAAAGGAACAGAAGGAAAATATAAAATCTTTCTTTCAATGAAAGCCAGCTTTGTTAGCCGTGTCTCTATTAGTGTTTAGACTATTTTTCAACATCTTATATCGAAAGCTAATATCAACTTGAGCTCAGACCGAATAAAGATAGAAAAGCGACAGAGAAAATTAAAGAAAAACAAACAAATAAAACAATTATCCATGTTTTTATTTGTTTGCTTAACATGAGACAATTCTTGTCAGTGTTCTCTTTCGAATGAATCAGATTGAAAGCCGCCTCCGCCGACACTTTTAGTGTCTTTCGCGTCGGCCATATTAAAATGACCGCTTGATAACCTTAACTAATCTGGAAGCCTTAAGTTTAGCTAGAAAAGATCCCCGGTTTGTTAACTTTATTTGCCTTATCTTGAACTCCTGTTATTCTTCTATCATTAAAGACACATAAATAGATAATGATTGATTGATGAAAGCGTAAGAACCAAAAGGTCGGCATAGTTTTCTTTTCATCAAAATTACGAATTGGATTACGATGACTGATACAAATATTCTTCGTTCTATTTCTTTTTTTTTTTTGTTCTTTCTTTTCGTTTTGTTTCTTGTCTGCTTCGTCTGTTTTTTTCTTCTTCTTTGTTTTATTCCCCTTCTTCTTCTTCTTCTTCTTCTTCTTCTTCTTCTTGTCTTTGTTATTTTTCTTCTTCGTTTTGTTCCTTTTTTGTTCCTGTTTTTCGTTTTTTCGTGTTTTTTTGTTGTTGTTGCCTTTGTTATTTTGCATCGTCTTTGTTTTGCTCCTATTCTTTTTCCTTCTTTTGCTTAGTTTTCTTCTTCTTTCTTCTTCTTCTTCTTCTTCTTCTTCTTCTTCTTCTTCTTTTTTGTTCTTATTGCTTTTCTTGATGTTGTTGATATTGTTGTTATTCTCCACCTCCTCCTCCTCATTATTATTATTATTATAGTTCGTGTTGTCTCATTTTTTTGTCCGAATTTTTAGACAGCTCCAGTTTCATTCGCAAGTGTGTGTGTGTCTCTTTACAGCTTTCAGTAATTAAGGCATGGCCGTCACTTTGCATTTCACATTCACTATTATTATTATTACTATTATTTACTAATTAAGTGTTCACAACAGTACTAACTGGTGACTAATGATGAAGATAAAATGACAGTAAGTCTCCTCCCAATTCCAGCATTCTAAAAATTACTTCAAGCGAATGAATTCTGTGAGTTGCATTAGGTTGGCATCGGAATTTGCAGATTGGCGCTACAGAACAGCAATCAAAGAACTTTGCCAAAACCTGGAAACTACATCACTTGAAAACCACCAAAAGTGGCAACAGCTAAAATGGATAGCACATGCAACCCGAAGAGAAAAAGATGATATGATCAAGATGTTGATTTACGACAAAGTTTTGAAAGGAAGCTCACGTCAAAACTAGAAAGAGCGATAACAGCTAGTGGGCATTAGAAACCTAGTTTCCAGAAAAAATTGCTTTATGAGAAATATTTTATCTATATTATTTATATGCGGACTATTCTCCTCGTCTTTGTTGTTGTTATGACAACGATTCGATTGTTTTTGCTGAAGGCCGGATGACACAACGGCCGAAACATTGAGAGAACTATAGTCCGCATTTAACTATAGATAACTCCCCATTCTCAAAATTCTAAACAATGATAACTCCCATTTCTCAAAATTATAGATAATGATAACTCCCTATCCCCAAAATTCTAAATAATGTTAACTTCCTATCCCCCAACTTCTAAATAATGTTAACTTCCCATCCTCAAAATTCTAAATAATGATATTTCCCATCATCAAAATTCAGACACAGAAAAATTTATTAAATTTCGACTAATAGTAACGCTGACTGTCCGCTCAATGAATCTCCAATGTTTCCTGTATATGAACTGGCATCTTACCACACTTCCAATTCGTTCCATAATTTCCCGCTAACCCAAGTCTTTTCTTGATTATGTTTAGCCTTTCGATTTGGTCATGATTAATGACTGTTGAAACATTACTTGTTCTCCTGATCAAAATTTTCAATTCTGAAATTCGCAAATCACTTCCAAAAATACTCTCAGCTACGGCCCCATCTCCATAAATGGGACATATCCTTTTTGCTGTTTGTAAAGCGTTCTTGCTATTCTATTCGGGGCCCTTAACAGCTGGCACAATTGATTCTTTTATGTCTCCCAACTTCTCAGATCTCATGTACAATCATTATACTTACCTGTATTTTTTTTTTTACTTGTTAGCAAATTTCCTCTACAATCTGGCACGTTTTCTATCATTTTCTATCGTGGGTTTTTGTATTTCTGTAGGTTTGCCTACTCCTCCTCTACAATATTCTCATCCCAAGGCACTTTAATGTCTATCGGGATCCATTCATAGCTGGTATTGTGCACCTGTGATATCAGGATAATTGCTCTCCAAGTGCTTTTCAATCAAAATGGTTACACCCTACACGAGCTTCAATTGCTCATACTCGCCTACTGACGGTAGTGAATGCGCGTACATCTTCTCTGAGCAATCGAGGCCATACTTATTGCGTAGTACCCAGTGATTTCTGAGGGCTAATTTCCATGGTGTCATTTCTACTCGTTTTGTTACAGTTGTATTTAGCCATTGACAATGTGTTGCACATTTTCACTCACCTTACTGCACAGTCTGCATGTGGAAAAATTAACTTTCTTCTCAAAAGACTCCTTGATGGAATAAGTTCTTGAAGCCGACATTTGCGTTGCACAAATCATCTCTCCAGATTTCTTCTTCAAGAACGTTTTTTCTAAGCCACTTCCATAATTTCGGATCTACCACCTCTTGTGTTTCTTATGCAAATATTCCGTTCAAGAGTTTTCTATCCATACATCGACTTTCTCATGATAGATTATCTGTCCGCAATTCGCCATCCATTTTCTCTCCAGAGATTGCTACTACAACTACAAGTACTATTACTACTACTGTTATTATTATTATTATTGTTGTTGTTGCTTTTATTTCCTTTTATTTCTGGTGTGTACACATTTCTTTTCGGGTCCCCCAGAGACCGAAGGTTAGAAATGGCATCATGACACTTTCCACTGACAAATATATATATATATATATATATATATATATATATATATATATATATATATATTTTACATAGATAAAGCCCTTCGTAAAGTGTGGGCTGTACTTGTGAGAACAATTTGGGCTTCCAGGAATCCCTTCAATTTGTCTACTGGAAACTTTTCCAACCAATCCTAGGGCTCCAACTACAACAGGGATTGTTGATGTTCCCATGTGCCACATTGTTGAAATTTCGATTTCAAGGTCCTTGTATTTTGATAGCTTTTTGAATATATTTAAAGATACATTGCAGTCTGCAGGGACTGCCATATCAATAAGGAGGCACTTTTTTTTGTTTGCGGTCTTTAATAACAATGTCTAGGCGGTTGGCTTTGATTGTTCTGTCAGTGTGTATTGCGTTGTCCCGTAGAATTTTAACAGGTCCTATCTCCGTAACCGGGCCTGGGTGGTGTTCATACCAGTTTCTTTCAGTTTCCTTCCCGTAGAAGTTGCAAATTTTCCAGTGCAGATATTGGCCCACTCTGTCATGCCGGGTTTTATACTTAGTAGGTGCCAATATCGTGCAACCTGATACAAGATGATCAATTGTTTCTGGGCTAACCCACTATTTTAGTATATGTGTTTGATAATTTCTAGTTAACAAGCATTGGTCCTGTGCAGCAAGGATAAAACCTCCAGTTTCAGCTTTCAACCCTGAACTACGTAGCCACTGATGGATACGGGTTTTGTCTACGTCAGCTTGTTTGGTACGGGCAGAGTATTGGCCATGAAGCTGTTTATCTTGCCATTGTTTCTGTATCTGGTCGGTTGAATTTGTCTTTGCTTTCTTTTTTTAAGTATTTTGCAGCTTCAGCCGGTGTATTGTGCTTTACTTGTATATCTGCGCCCATTTGATGTTCCATTTTGAACATGTTTATTATGATTATTAATATTATTATACAATGGTTCAAACAGAAGAGAAGAGGTTTTAAAGTAGTTATTATAATTATTATTTTTATTATTATTATTATTAACGGCTTAAAAAACCTCTTCTGTTTGAACCATCGTATCAACTAAACACTTAATTATTATTATCATTCTTCTTCTTATTACTCCTGGGTATGACGATAAACTACATCCAGCAGCAAGGCCTCTGATCGAGAGACTGGAGATTTTGAGGCGCGTGAAACCACCTCTTAATTGCTTTTGTTCCTAAGGCAACCTGACCCAGGTTGGTAGCACCTGTTAGGCTCCCAGCTATGGGAAAATATTGACCCCCCCCAACAAAAATAAAACACTATGAAAGTATAAAAATATATTTTATACAAAAATACAGACAATACCTATTTATGGTATACATTTAGTTGAAGCCATAAAATTGTGTTCAAGATATGTAGATTTCGGCATTAAATAACCCATAGAGGTGTGGATATGCCACTAAATGAAATTAACCAAACAACCAATATGAAAGAACACTTTCATGGC